GTCTGGAGTTTCACAGTCTTTCATGTACAACAGGTGCAGTAACAGTACTGACTCTTTGCCTCTCTGTTTGATGCCTGACAATCGGCACTGTGGGAGCTGAGGGTAAGCAGAGTCCACCCTGTAGTGTATTGTATTCTGTGTGTGTGCGTGTGTTAGGTGTAATGTTTTGATGACATCTTGAATCCTGCACCCCAGTTTCAGTTTGGTCTCAGTTTTCGCTTCATGTGACCCTCAAGGCAGCGGAGGTTCCCACAGCTTGACGCAAAAATCCCCCTCTGATCTTACACTCAGCTGATGTGGTTGTTTCACCTGGCTTTTGATGCTAGCAGTATGGTCCCCCCCCCTTTGCACCACTGATCTACTGTACATGCAGTCTGGATACTGACTGTAGCTCTGCTGGAGCTGGTGATAAACTGTCACACTGAAATCCAGTGTCTTGCTCTCTCACCGTGCACCTTTTTTCTTATGTTTTCATGCCTTAAAATTGCCAGTAAACACCCTTCTTATTGTTGTCTATCCAAAAATGTCCTGCTTGTGCTTTGCTTCGTTTCTAAGACATAACTGCATTTATAGTACACTTACATCAAATGCCTCTCTAACCACCTCCAGAGATGGCTTCAACAATTAAGTCATAATCTGCTCTTACTGTGTCTTGGGTACATTCTCATTTTTATTTTAACATGGCTAAGCACTTTCTGATTGCAGTTTGATCACTTAAAATGCATCTTAATTGTAAAGAGGGTCTTAGAGGTGGAAGCAGCACTTGAGATAACAAGGTCCCAGTGATAGAGTAACAGTGGCTGCAGCTGCCGAAAAGTATTATATCTTTACAAAATAAGCAAATACACTCGGAGATGCCCTTAGATGAATTGGCCTATTTGTCAGATTTGTCAGTTTATTTTTATGTTTTAGTCATGTAGCCCAGATAATCTTTTTTTCTGCTGGTTGTGATGAATTTTTTTTAAGCTACAGCTCGAGTACAGTGGGTAAGCTAATCAGACCTAGATTCCTGTGGCAGTGTCTTCAGTTAACACAAAAATTAGTTCCTATTGCCACTTTTCACTGTACTTTCTTTATTTTGATCACTTAAATGAAATATTTTCGGCATATAGTTGCTCAGTTTACCTACATTTTGTCTCCTGTCACCGTTCCCCTTAAACTGATACATACATAAAATATACGCTTTAATTGAACACGTCATTTTTTTCCACTGTGGCCATTCCTGCCCATAGCTACATCAGTATTGCTGCATATTTGTTAACCTTGTAGTGTCCTTTTTGCACTTTTATTTTGAAATACCTGTTTACCAGAATTTGTTGTCCTATTGGACAGAACCATGATAGCTGTTTCCCAGTCTTTGTGCTAAGCTAACGGACTCCTGGCTGTAGCTTCATATTGACATAAGACATAAGTGGTATAAATCTTTACATAAAATACATTACTAACTAGTTTTCTCATTTAAAGGCAGTCGTGTATCCTGTCACGGAATGACTAAGGTTTCTCATTCTGACTTAGCTACCATTTCTAAATGTTTAATATTTATGGTTGCTATAAGACAATTTTAGTACTGCAATAGTCTAAATTCACTGACAAAAATATCATTTTGGGGAAACACTGAACACAATTTTTGAAATGCAAGCAGTCATATTTAAAGAAGACATATGCACAAATTAATATCAGCAGTCAGTAATTTAGTTCTAAACTTACTGGTATCATTCTTTATTGGCCTGTCCTGATCAAACCCTGGTGTGTGTTTTTCCATAACATATTGTATATTTCTGTGTGTGTGGAAAAAGTGCCTGCATTTGTGTGCACATGTGAGTAGAATGATGCTCCAAGGAATGACTGCCAGCTGCAGCAGCATCCAGATGCTACCTCCCTATCCCTCCTCTGGGCCAGCTGCCACCGCATAGACAAGATCACAGCAGAACAATGCTAGTGCAAGAGCCTCAAGTCGCTGTGGTAGAGCCTTGTGAAAAAAGGCAGCCTTCAGCTGCAGGGCATATGAATGCACTTCTGAATAGCCACAGTACAAATCCCTGCATGTCTGCAGTCCAAAGCCCAGCACCCTCATCACATGTGTCTCATTTAAATCCCTCCGGAGATTTTTCGCGGGATCATAAGGGAATGGTGTTTCTTACAAACCATTCGACACATTGTTGGGCAGATGAGCAGAACCCTTGTTGCGAGGTTTGTGGGTAGACTTGCAGTATTTCTCCTTTCCCATGATGCTTCTGCGTTTTAACCTTGATCCCTTATATTGCTTCTGAGGTTTGATTCTTACAACAAAGCCAGTCCATGTTATTATCAGCCTCCCACTTTTTCATCTGTGTGTAGTTGCACTGTAATGCACATTTACAGTTATCATTACAGAGTAGATATTAGCTGTGAGACAATGCTCTAAGTTCTTTGTTGTCATGGTTACAGACACCACCAACAGCATCCTCCTGACAAAGGTTTATGCAGTGATTAAATTAGCAAACTCCATTTGTGAAACGAGGACCACCTGGACACAGGGTTGCTATCCCACCACGTTCACCAGTATACCAACAAACCTCAGCTTCTTCACACAAACACACACAGAGTTGCACCTTCAAGCACCCCAGGAGTTGATGCCTCCACTCAGAGATTACCTGTCCCACCACTCTACATGCATCCTTTACTCCTCTTTATCTCTCATTCTTCCTCTCTCAAACAGTCACCTCTGTCTTGCTGTTGGTCACGAAGTAGGGCTGTGTTGGGAGGAAGTGTTGGCTGTGGCTTTGGCCTCTAGTGCCATAGAGCTGGTTCGGTTCCAGTATGGTACACTGAGGCCTCTTGTGCCCATAGGTCTTCCTCTGGCCCAGCGTCTCAGTCCCGTCCCAGCCCTTCAGCCCCTTCCCCATTGAATGCCCAGACGCAATTGTGTTAGAACTGTAAGCCAATGGGCGGCCCATTGTAGCTGAGCTGGTGCCAATGACAGTCTGGGCGGCCCTGGATATGCCCAGGGATGTGCCACCTGGCATGGTCCCCGCCTTGTGTGCCAGGGAGGTAGCCCCAAGTCCTGGCAGCTTGCTACTGTGGCTGTGAGCATGAGTGTGAGAGCTGTGTGAGCTGTAGGTAACATGGCCATGACTGACTTTGGGTTTCTGGCCGTTTGGCCTGAGTCCCCCTACTCCTACTCCACTGGCTATGTGCCGTTCTGTTGGCAGAGTTGAGACAGAGGAGATGCTAGGCATCTCTGTGACGTAGGTGGCCACTGGCTCTGGAGTCAGTGGACCCAAAGAGGTCATATGTGTCATGGAGGTCATGGGTGTCATAGACGTCATTGGGGTCATTGAAGTGATCTGGGTGATGGTGGGGTTCATGTGATTGGAGGTCATGGGGTTTGAAACCATTGGATTGGTCGTCATTGAAGGGGTCATCATTGACATGTTGCCCATAGAGGGTCTGGAGTTGACCATTGGCTGGAGAGGAAGGCCGCCTTTCATTGGCAGCTCCACCATCAGCCGACGCTTGTTGTAGAGTTCACCGTTGTACTTGGCAGCTGATAGAAGAGGGAGAGAGAGAAATGGAGAGCTAGTGAAAATACAAAGTGGACATGAAAGAGCTGTTTGAGTACAGCTGACAACTTGGATAAAATGCTGAAATCTAAATGAATTTGTTTTCTCCTGTTTGGTTGTTTGCTATTTTTGAACCGTCAGACTGTGAAGAAACGTACCCTCACTTTGACTGAAAAAGAAAATAAAGCTGTTATGTAGAGTGACTCATAAAATAAGACCTTCAGCCAGTTGCAGATCAGCTGCAAGCTAACATATACGTTAGCAGAAATTTTGATTGGAAACCATCATACTATTTATACTTTGTTAGTCAGCCTCCCCTCATCAAACTGACCAACCGGGGTGTCAGGGCCACTGTAAATGCCTGCATATGGAGGCCTGTCACGCCACTGGAGGAGTGAAATAAAAAGAAAAGCCCAAAATGTCTCCTGCGCTTTGCCTCCACCTCTCTTATAAAACCAAGATAACGTCTTACGTCTGTGTGGTGGGAAGGTGTTCACTGTGATTAAAGGGGAAGAAAATCGAGGAGAATGATGTGAGGTGGTCACAACGTGAACTGATGATCATTTTTCTAACAGGGCAGATGTGAAGAGAAGGTTTCAAAAAAGACAGTGTAATGCTATGGGGAGGAAAAGGGTGGTGCAGTTCCTGAGCTTAAATACTATACTTTCTGATACAACACTGTATGAAACAGCTGGACAAAATTACTTGGACAAATTAGATAAAAAGCATTATACCGTAATGGTAAAAGACACTTTGTACTGCACATGTGCAATAGGGTTTGCACAGGTTCCATATGTGGTGTGGGTTTAGTGGGTCTCTGTCAAAGAGTGATGAGGGTAACTGTGTAACATTGCTAGTTACAGTTCATATCAAAGTCTATACTGTTTGATGCTGAATTGCATTTACAACACTTACGTAACACAAAAACCTACTTATTACAGTGTGCGTGATCTGAGATGACCGTGGCAAGCTAAATGTGTAGCTGACTAGCACATCATATTCTGTTACTACCCAGACAGTAAATGACAACACAGAAATAGACACACGTCTCCTCAAAGAAAGTTACTGATGATTTTTAAGGGTTAAAGAATATGCTGAAATATACAGTATCAACATAAATGCACATATATACAGTGTTGCACCCAACAGAGATCCCCATGTGCTTGCATGCAGACTGAATCTGTACACAAAAGCAATAGCCTCACTACGCTCTATGTGCCAGTGTAAGCATTTTCCCAAATTGTCTGTATACCTGTGTGTTTGTGTGTGAGTTTTACTCTTGGAGCAGTCAGCTTTAATGCCTCATACAGTAGTTAGTTGTTCCTCTGTCACTCACTGCCACCGAGCTACGATCTGTCTTATCCCTGCAAAATGTGTAATCTATTTTTCCTATCAGATTCAAGTTAAGTCATTACTTTTAGCTCCTGTTGCCTCCACATCCTTGAAGATAAAGTTAACACACTCTGCAAGTTTGCTTTGCCGCTGCAACTATAAATCTGGTTTATTGCTCTGTGAACGGGGAGAGGAGTGAGCGAGCATCCCTACAGAGGTAAAGCAGAAAGGGTTGTGGGTGGGGGGGGGCAGAGGCAGGGAAGCGCGTCACCTGCCTAGTCCCCAGCTAGATCGCCTCTGGGGATCAAATTTGCTCAAGCGACAGGTGAATCAATCCGCCAGCAGTCGGCTCAACAGTGCGCACATCCAGCAGCGTACGTGAGTGGAAATGGAAAACACCGCTGGTTCACAGTGCGGGCGCCGCATGCCTCCGCCTGAGAAAGGCCAGCATCCCACAGAGACTAACACAGAATACATCAGGAGAAAAATCAAGTACTGCTCGTCTGAAGTCCCTCTGCACCAATACCATTAAGACTTTATTAGGATTAGACTAGTATGTCAATGTGCTCTTTATTCAATCAGGTTCTCCTCTGACAAAACCTTTTAAAATCTTCATTCCATTTGCTTTTATATTTTACAGAAGGTTTCTTGAAAACTCAGATGTACAGTAATTCTTTCTTGGGATGTTGTACTGTAAGTGGGTGTGTGTCATTGTGCTGCCACTCTACACAAACACATCCATTAGTCTTGGTCTCAATCGAGAGTTTTGTCTTATGATTAGGCACATTGTGCTTGTGAGACTTTTTCCCTTTGAAAAGTAAACTCTTTACAATTGAATGGTTGTATACTGTACTTTGGCAGAAAAAAATGGGCTAATATAAAGATTTAATGTTGGCACAGAGTGTGAGATGCAATCTGATCTTCCTCGCTGTTGTAGGTCAGTTACTATCTCCACAGGGGAAATACAGTAATGTCAGGCAAAGACAACGCATTGAAAAGATATTAGAGACAAAGCAATATGACAAAGACAGAGTATAACATTGTACCTTAATACTACTGATGTTTGTGAACCTGTAACTTTTCCCCCAGCTCTACCGTGAGAATGACATTTTAGTTGTTTAGTAAAAAAAAAAAAAAAAGGCAAAAAGGCTGAAATTTTCTTCCTTTGTGTTTTATTTTTGAAATGTATTTGCATGTTAAGAGGATTATAGAAGATTAAATCAAAGATAATGTGATAAATGATTATAATCTACACGGTCTCAAAAAACATTTACATTTTTAATCACTTCATTTTGCTAAGTCTTGCATAAAAGCACTGTAAATAAATACTTCAGCAGCTGGCAGATTGTATGGACTGTCTACAGAAGAGCGGGCTTGTCGGCTGCCTCTGCCCTTACCTGCTGAGTGGCCACCAGCAGCAGACTGGGGTTTATGGAACTTGTTAGATTTGCATTAGATGTTGCTGATAATTGGTCATTTGTACTTGTAGAAGAAGCCATCCTCCTCTGGGGTGAGTTACAGGTCTGTCCAGGGACCTTTATTAGATGGTTTTTGCCTTGGTTGCAGTTAGAATTCGATAAAGCGACCTTATATGGATGCACAAGGGGACAGTGGAGATATCGATTGACAGGTGTGTGATGTAGACCTCTGGGAAAGTAGCAGGGACAATTAAATACGTTTTTAAAAAAGGCAGTTGAGGGGATGTTGAGGAAATGGTGTTGATTTTAAACTTTGTTCTTTTTCTCATGGGGTCACTAGAAGCGTAGGTTAGGAGAAGAAAAGAAGGAAAAGCAAACTCCATTTGTGTTGCTCAACAGCAGCGGAGCTCCGAATGTGACTTCAGAAAGGGCCACCGCTGGCATTTCGTTTTTGTTTGTTGTCAATTATTCCCTCTCCCTCAGTTGCTGCCTCAGCGTCCCACTCTCTCTCTCACTCCACACACATTTCTAACAGTTCATGTGTGACTTCCCCATCACTGGACTCGCAGTAATGGCAGTTTGCCTCATGGAACCCCAGGTTCCTGTGCTGTGTAGCTTTGCTCAGGCTTTCAGTCATTTCATAGGTGCCTCTTTGAATACCACTTACAGAATGGAAATCTGTCAGTCAAGTAAGCCTGAGGGGGGGGAGGCCTCCCTTCAATTACAGAAATGGAATCAGATATGAGCGGCTGCAAGGGAGGACTGAGATGAGCACCACAGTGTTTTCTTTATTTTTTTTTTTTAAGGGGCGATAAGTAGTGTGCTGAATTGGGGGGTGGAGAGGAAACAGTGCATGTGGGAAGGGGAGACAAAAGAAGCAATAAGATAACGTGAGATAACGTGAGGGGAGATACAGAGGAGAGAGCATGAGGTGGATGATAGAGGTGACAATGTCAAAGAAGAAAGAAGATGGAAAGTGGGGAGAGGTAGGAAAGGTAAGAGGAAATGAAAGGGAAAGGGAGAGAGACCAGCGGAGAGTGAGAGACATAAGGAGGACAATGAGAGAGAGAAAAAGGAGCCATTACATTAAAGAGCAAACAGGAGCAGAAGAGCAAACAGGAGGAAGACAAATGGTCTAGGAGGGGTGGTGAAGGGAAGACGAGGGACATTTTAGATATGAAGAAGCAGAGAGGAAGAAGTGGACTTAAGAACGAAGGGAAGACTGTTGAGACAACAGCTAAAGTGTAATTTCTTCGTTGCCGCCTGGGCTCAATTCAGTCTTTGCAAAGATCCTTGAAAATGCATTTCATTACTTTTATTTTTCAGAGTATACTGCAGCATTTTAGATTTGGTTTATGGTCTCCAGGCAGTTGGTGCTTTCACAACATCATAAAAATCAATGTGCAGAGACTTAATGCAGCCTCAGAAAAATAATCACAGTGAACATTTTTGAACATTGCTGTTGGATCGTTATGCAGGACTGTTGTGATAGAAGACAGTCTTTTTTTTTTTTTTTAAAGCAGATAAACAGTATTCTCCCCCTCCATCCAAAAGTTGCTTATTGTTATTAGGGTCTGGGGTATCTGGACATTAGTTTACGTTTCTTGGTGTCACGATTCAAAACGGAACCAGTTCTCAGATCAAAACAGATTCTTGATTCAATGAATAGAAATGATTTCAGGCTGTTACTCCTATACACCAATTCATACTCATGTTTTCATTCGACTGAAATGCAAAATGAAGCATAACTGGCAGTTATTTAGCTACAGTACTGATGGTTGTTTTCAGGCAGTGCATCAGAGAAAAGTGCGAGGGTGTACACACCTTTTTTTTTTTATCTGAAAAAAGTATACTCAAAAATCTAAATGTAATTTACTGACCAACAGTAAAACAGAAGTTGGCCTGTGTGTTCTGGACAAAGTGGGGTGAATGCAGAAAAAGACAAAGTGCTGTGGTGTGGTTATGTTCTCTCCAGCAGTGGAGCCCATCGTCTTTGCAGTGAAACAGATGAGATAGTTTTATGGAGATTGACTTGTTGCTGGTGCAGCTGTTTGATGTTGCCTGTTTTCTGGCTCTTTCAATAGATAATGTATAGATGTAGATAGATATCAATGTACTGTAGCTTTAAGGTTTTTTAAACCAGACTTGTATGTCTATGAAATTAGACACAAATTATTATACCACACGGAGTATATTTGCATTTTAAAATTGTCCTGAAAGGATCTTGAACTTTAAATAAACAAAGGAATTTTTAGGGCATTTCTCTCTTCAGGTTTGATTTCGAGACATGATGGGTTTAAAAAGAATGCTTTTTAAGCAGTAAAATAGAGATTCAAAGGGAAAAGGTACATATTTGAATATGGTTGATGTATACAATACAGTAGCTAGACTTTTTTTTTCTACATTTCCCAAAATGCCTTGCTCAATTCCTAGAGCATGTGCTGCAGCCATCTGTTGGTACTGCATATGGTGAGATAAAAAAAAAGAAAGAGACCAATACTCTATCGAACAGTGAGGTTCCCCCATCGAGAAACAGTGGGGTTGTGGTCCTTCCTCAGATTGCGACATGGCTGCACTGCACTTGGGTCGAATGAGGACTCTGACATCTCTGCCTCTCCTGTGATGGATTCTTTCTCTTCTTGTTAAACATTGGTCAAAAATGCTGAGCTGAGAAAGGATCCCTTTGTTGTTTGACCCTCAGACTCGCATCAAACCATCTTTTGTTCGCAATTTAGATAACTGGACAATTTTCTGCAATCAAACACAGTTGTAGCTGTGCTGAAAACATCGAACCATTGTCTGACATTTATATCCGGTCAGTTACGAAGGAATTATAAAAAATATACCACTAAATAAAGATGCCAGGGTACAGGATTCAGGATGACAACAATCACTATTTCCTTTGGCTTTCTTTTTAGGGTGTCTTTCCTTTAAAAAGCTCAAAGTGATCAGCTATTATTCATCTCTGCCTCTGTTTTCAATGTTGCTGGTATTTATACAAAACGCTGCTGTCATTAAACGTATCTTCTTGCTTCTGGGGCACAAAGCATTATTCAGCATAAATAAGCATGATCATCTTACTACTGTAACATGTCTGCAGATGACTCAGCCCTCCACATTAACATTTACAATACAAAGGAAGTTCACACCTACATGTGTTGTCTGAATCAAATGTTTTATTTTCTGCTGCAGGAAAAGGCTTTTCAAGGACAAGATGTCCGACTGTTTCTCTAATAAAAGGCGCAAACATAGACAAATAGTATCTTGTAGCTGTTTACACAGATATCCCGATGTGTTTGCTTCATAATATCTAGGCCGAGTGGGCTGAATTCTGATTTAAGTGAGGGCAGGGTACGGTACCTGTCTGGCATAAACAAGCTGACAAAGGCACACTGAAAAATGTACAAGTCAAGCTCAAATGAATTCAGGTTATGAAATAGTGATGCCACTGCCAATAACACATGGTCATGGTGAGGCAAATTCAAATGAGCTGCACTGGCAACTGAGCTCATTGAATTTGGTGTTATGTGTTTAGCTGTCGACAGCTTGACAAGCAGGTTGTTTATGTTCGACTGTGCACCCAGTTTGGTAGTGCAATCAATTAGGCCTGTCAAACCTGCCTGTGAGAGTGCTGGAGTGTTGACGCTCGGTTCGGGACACCTCTGGAAACGTCATCTGCAGCCCTTTGTGTTTGGATCACAAAACATCACCCTGTATGTAAATTATTATCAAGAGAAGGTGGGGTGAGAGAGAGGCATTTATGTACTTTTTGTTTTCACTGAAAGGAGGGTGGCCTATGTTTTGGTAGCACTGGAGAGGATCTTTAGTTCTTTCATGCCCTAGATTCATACAGTATGATCTTTCTAGATCTTTTTGTTGTGGAAAAAAGTTATGGACCACATTTTGTGTGTGACATGGACCATAGAGGAGCTTCTGACCATGTGCACAGGACCATAATCATGTCTGGCCATTTCCCACTTCATAAATGAGAACCATAATGCCAGTTATTTAAAACTGCAGACCTGAAGATTTGTAGTTAGGTATACTGTAGTTAAGGCCAGAGATGGCAAAAGTACACACATTCATCATTCAAGTAGAAGTACAGCTCCCTGTGTAAAAAAAAAAAAGACATGCCGATTCAAAGTCTTTACTTGAGTAAAAGTGAAAAGGTACAGGCTCTGAAGTGTACTCAAAGCATAAGCTGTTTCTGTGCAAAAGTAACTGAACCTCATGTCTTATTAATATATTTCTAAGACTATTAAACCATTCTAATTTCAAATAAAAGAATAAAATAATTAATATTAACTAACAAGACCACATTTCTGGTCTAATAAAGTCTTAAAGGATACGCCCAGTCATTTTCTGTAGTATTTTCAGTCATCCAACGGAGACTAACACCACTGTTCATATCTGTCAGGTTCCAACCTGATTAGCTTATTCGTCTGTGCCATAAACCTCTGTTGTTGATTCGAAACATATCAGTGAAACACACTGCTGCACTGGCTGAAATGCTTCTACATTACAGAAGACAAGACCGATATATTATTTTAAAATATTGACCCAAAAGATTCAAATGACCATAATGTTTTACAGTGTTTGAAGTAAAGCAAGACTCAACTGCAACATGTGTGAAATCTCACAGAAAGTGTGAGAAAGCAGAGAGCTTGTAATGAAGAAACATGTGGCCAAATGCTGCAGTGTGCACATGTTGCAGCAAGTGCAAAATAAAAAATAATCTCAGTACAGTAATGAAGTATTTGTACTTTCTTACTTCCCTTATCTCTGGTTAAGGATTGAACATAATACTTTTTAGAAAGTAAAACATGAGTTTCAGCCTGCCTCCCCTTCCCAGCCATTTTAACATGTTCCCTAAAACACAAGTAATGAATAAATCACAACCCCAATTCTCCTGTTCTCAGGATCTCACTGCCAGCTCGGAATGCATCAGATGGTGAATGGAGAATGGGGGAAGCCCAAGATTCACTGTGATGGTGGTGCATCCAAACACAACTGGTCAGATCAAGCAGCAACAGCTGGTAAAATCAGCACTCATTTTTTATACCAGTAGCGCAACATCAAGTACACGGTAAGTCAAACTGAAGAAATGTTCTCTGTTTGCTGAACATTTAAAGACGTTAATAAGAAGTTTGGCAGATGCTCACCCACAGCCTTCAGGGAAGCGTACTTGTTGAGATCCTTATCTTGGTACTGCTGTTGCTGCTGTTGCTGTTGTTGCTGCTGTTCATAGACATGAGACAGCTGGCTGAGGGTAGGGTAAGGGTGCTGCTGGGCCATGTTTGAGCCTGGTGCCACATTGTTGTTGATCTGACTGCCCTCTGTGAACAAAGGACACATGAAGGGACAAGGTTACATACAAGCCTGGCACAGTTATGTGGGGGCTCTCAAAATGTAAAGGATGTTAGATTTTTAAAACAGAATTATGTTACATTAATGTGTAATTTGTTGTAATTTTCTTAAAAGACTTGTTCTTATTTGTAAAATAATGCAGCAATGTTGTTTTAGTTAATGAAATAGGTGATGACTGGATTTCAAAAGGTGTTTGAAATGAGTGTGTCTACTCTCCAGAATCAATGCAGCACATTTCCTATAGTTAAAACAGTGAATATTGCCTCTAAATCACCATAAATCATTAGTAAAATGTACATTTTTGATTTACAAGAAATTTAGTAGGCTTTATGTTCTGATTGTGATTATCAGGAAATCAGCCCTCCTCACCCAGCACATTTTAAAAGTAGCCTTCTCAACCATAGCCATAATGGATTAGCCTTCCTCCATACTTCAGTTATATAAGGAAGATGCAGATGGCAGGATAACAAATTCACTAATGTACAAATGGAAATGAAGGGCAGCAACAATAGCTTGACAGAGTCGTATGAGAGAACTTTATGAATGTTAAAATGTGTGTGGGAATTCAGAGAAAACTATCTCCAGATTGTTCTCTTGCTGTGCTGAGGAGTCTGACACATAATTGCAAATTCCTGTTACTGAAGGTAGTGGTGGCCTTGCTAAGTGAATAGATTCTGTTAAAAGCCCAAAAAGTTGAGATGGAGTGAGAAAAAGTGGAAAAGGGGAGTGGGATGAGGATGCATGAAGAATGACAGGAGTTAAAAAAAAAAGCTGGCAGACAAATAAAAGAGGTGTGTGAAACAGAAGAAGCTTAGATAAACTCATTTGAGCAGAAAACACAAGAGTACAGGCAGACAGTAAAACAGTCTCAACAGAATCCTAAAAATACAAACTCTTGCTCCCCTCCATCTTCTTTCAGCCCTGGGTGCTCATATAGATGCTTTTTGTTGTTTCATAGAAAACAAAAGGGGAAGTTGTGTCCCACAACCTGACAATATTGATTTCATCCACCATTCAACGGTGCTTTGTTGAACCATAAGTTGTGCACAAGGGCCTGAAACCTGCACAGTTCGACTGTCACTGAAAGTTATGTTGCTACTAATTAATCACTTGATCCTCAATATCTATACATACACTGGCTGACATGGGGGAGAAGAACATCAGCGTGACAGACGATGTGGGACATTGTAGAAGTAAGAGATGAGATTCCCTGATGCGATCAAATGTCCCATGGTGCTTGGTGAAAAGGAAAAGCCACACGATTGAAGTTTAAATACATGGAAAAACAAAAGCACACCCAAGATCAGACATCGGGTGATAGGAAAATGCAGTGTTCAGACACTGTAATTATTTTTTGGATCTGATTGCCACTTGTACAGCATCTTTCTGATGCACTTTTTCGGGTAAACACTTTGTGAGGTGCTGAAATGCTCTGGCAATACTGGCTCACTGAAGGCTTGATAAATTCATTGAAACTGAGCCAGGGGGTCAGGCACACACTGTGGAGGGGAAACAGAGGAAAGGCAGCCATGAATAGAAGGATTTTCTCATTTCATAATGGAGTTTTTTTTTTCCCTGATTGAGGAGCACAGTTGTTATATTCACTATCCAAACTCAGGTGCACCTCCTCCTTTTCCTTTTCTGCCATGAACTGGTTTGCAGTGAATCCATGAGCAGTCCTGGAAATGGCAGCATAGAATTGTAAAACTCACAATTACTGTACAAAGATGGAGGCTATCTCTCATTTACGCCATATACTAAATTGTGATTGTATGCAAATGTTCCTTGTGCAGTTTAAATAGTTTACTATCAGAGAGACACAATGCTTTCAACAGGATGTCGTCTCTGCCCAATTAGAGGACTGGGTGTGACAAGCTGGCAAATCAAACTAGAACCTCAATGAGCTGCAAATAAACATCTGGTTATTACTGTGGTGCATTTTGGCTTAAAGCAATAGTTTGACATATTGGAAAATGCACTAATTCATTTTTTTTGTTGAGGCTTACCATACAGGAGGAGCTACAGACCACACGTCTTTACTGTAAATATGAGAAGGTTAGTTTATCAGAATGACCAGGGAAATGGCCAGCCTGGCTCTGTTGAAAGAATAGATTTGCCCACCAGCACCTCTAAAGCTCACTGATTAACATGTTATATTATGTTTGTTTAATTTACACCTTTGTAGAGAGCTAGGCTTTTTCCATTGTGCTAAGCTAACAGTCTCCTGGGTTCATATTTCCTGAAAAGACATGAGAGTGCGATCAAGCTTTTCACCAGAAAGGAAATGGCAGACTGTTCCTTTAAATATAAATGGGGCCATTAGTATACTGTAGTAAACCTTTTCAGGAGTAAACAAAGAGCTAAATTCAAAAACGATTCACCACCCCATCAAGGCTTAAACATGGCTATTTGTCCCTTTTAGAAACATTTTTGGTCAGTTCATCTCGATTGATGGCTTCTCTGTGTGAATTGCACTAACATTGTCCTATAGTTGCTTTTGATGTTAACTCAGGTAAACAATCTCTAATCTTTGCTCCTTCCTTTTTGCTTTCAGAGTACTATAATTATTTTAGCTCTAATAGAAATACTTTCTACACTCTCTGTAATTCAGTTCAATTTACTTGTATAATGCCAAATCACAGCAACTATTGTCACAGGGAACTTCACATAATCAGGTCTAGACGCTATTATAAGGAAAACCCAGCAAATCCCCCTTGAGCAAGCACTTGGCAGCAGTGAGGAGGAAAATCTCCCTTTAATGAAAGAAACCTCAGACAGACCCTGGCTTTCGGTGGGCGGCCTTCTTCCTCAACTGGTTGGGGTGAGTGGATAGAGGAGAGAGAAAAGCATCAGGACACAACAGGTTGTTATGGTGCCATGAAATATCAGAAGACAACATAGCAATATACAAAACTAATATATAATAAGTGTTTCATATGTAATATGTATGCATGCACACACGATTACATACATACATACATATACACTACACTATACACTACACTATAATACTATATACAGTATATACATAGTATTACAGTGCTATTCCATATAATCAATCAGTAATACTCAAATGTACCAAAGAATAGGAGAGCATTCATATAAAAGCTCAGTATAGGAGTTAAATGATGTTTACCAATTATCTTGACACATTCAGTCCAGTAACTTGACAAGGGTCATGACAAAAAGGATGCAGTTTGTGTCAAATCTTAATAGAAACAATAAATTCAACTATTATACTACATCCATCCCAAGATGGGTCCAGGATCTATCTCAGTAAAACACCCCCATCTAAGTGCAACAGACCACTCACACACCCACTTAACAGTTCAGAGTAACAAACCCTCCAGCACTCTAGATGACACTATGAACTCAGTCTACAGGGTGGCTGCCACCCATTTCCAGGGTGCCCATCAGGATGCGGAAAACGATGCGGTGGGAGCCTGCAGTGTGGTCACAGTGTCTCACCAAGTGGAACCAAAACAAACTGATACTCTACGGTCATGACAGTCTTCCACCTCCAGTGCCAGCCAGTTTTTAATGTACACCACCAGCTGTGATAGTTCCCCCAAATCAGGATAGCAGTAAAACAAAAAGCAGTGAAAATGAATTGGATTACAGTTCGGTAGTGGTAATTACAAGCTCATTTTGCTTTTAACGTAAAAAGGTCAATAATAATTCAGTCACAGAACACATTCTTTAGGCTTTTTCTATGTCTTACTGAACATTTCAATAAAGTATTAACGAAATAACTGGTGCATACAAACAGGTCTGTCAACAGAATAACAAAATATGTAGCAGTAAAATGGCCAACTCAATCTACTTTTACCTGTTGTGGATCTAATGGCAAAGACTTAACTGTTATAGGACTATGTGTTAAAAAAACAACATAGAAAACAAAACATCAGACTATTATCTTTACACTGGTACCACGGAAATGCATGAGCTCTAACTGAGCATAAAAATATAGGCATGAAATGATTCCTAAGGGGTGTTAAAGCCCAGCCAGGCAGAATACACAACAGCTGGATGAAAAGTCATGAGATCAACAAAATCAGTGAGTCTCTATGCTCATGCTGGGAACAGGTACAGAAGATGGGTGTTTTAGAAAAGGCCCAAAGAGACGGTGTGTTTATGTGAAAACTGAAAGGTTGTACTGATGGTGGTTCTGTCCAAAATCTCTGTTTTCAAATGTATTTTTAAAACCCAGTGGACAGTAGCAGATGGACGGACAGAGGTGATTACATAATCTGCCGTTCTTAGTGGAGATAGAGTGCAGTAACTATTACACCGCCTTGTGTAGGAGATAGCATCAACAACAACATGTTGTGTAATTCTTTGTGAAAGCCAAGATCATTGGAACAGGTTAAAACTTAAATAAATCCTTGTTACTGAATTCCTTATTTGTTCCATTTGTACAAAGACTTCAAATGAAAGACTCTGATGGTTTTCTCAGTGACATGGAAAAACATTGGTCTGTGGTGTTTGAATTTACCATTTTGGGTGCTATTGAATTTTTTTTATTGAGTCCAGATGTAATCCTGTGTAGCAATGTAATCCTATAAGCAGGCTTTCACACCGACCGCAAATAATAAATAAATAAACACACATACCGAGGCTTCCTTTTACTTCACTGGCATTGGTGCAATGAGAGGTGCAACAAAAATGTTGTCAGGGTGTGCTGTCATTTTTCAGCTTGTTGCTCTCATCAATGGGATCTCTACGAGTTAGCTACAGTCAGCTAAGGTTATCCGTTTGGAATGACCACAGCCAGTAAAGTGAAATCTAAGTGATTTAAGATGCTTTTTAGCCAAACAAAACAAGAATGTATGCAGGCAAATACAATACAAAATGACGCCCCCCGTTACAACAATCTGCACAGTGTGACATACCTTCAAACTATATTACATTTACTTATATTTATACTCAACAAAATCATAATCTCAACAAGGTATAAACGGTTGAAGCT